AGGGTCACACGTTGTGTCATCCATATGGATAACACCTTTCTGTGAGAGATGGTATACGTGCATTAAAACTGTCAAGCCAGATAGCGCTCTTACACCAAGCATGCGCCAAGAGATACAAATGTGTGTTAGTTTGCATATCTCCATGGCTACCAGTGTTTTTATTTTGTCAACAATTCACATCTTTGCGTCACTGTACGTCATTAGAAAACATGAATGAAATATAATGCTATGCAAATGAAAACGTTTATAAACAGTAACAATTTGTGTTTCTATAAATGTTCTTTGGGTACACACAAAAAACGAAGAAATAAAGAAACTAGTTGAAGCATGGATGTAGAAAAGAGATTTTCTTTTTACCTCCCAGGTTGAAGGGACTTGTTATGTCATGTTTTATTTAATACGATAACAAAACAACCAAGTCTTAGAACTGTTAGTGGATTTGTTTTTGTTTTATCAAACCACGACCAGTTTTAGATAGGCCGTCTAACACAATTTGATTCAAACAAAAATAAACAACGCATTCGTTGAGGTCTACTTTACTTATCTATATCTATAGCTTTATTGCATTGAAATGAAAGCAAAATAAACTCAAATCGACACATCTCATTAATTCATGAATAATGGAATGAACATATATCATAAGTAATTGACTTTTTGTGTAATTAATTATGACAACTTGTTGACATATTATTAAAAGACGAGAACTCGATTAGTGACGGGTCGTAACCCCGGATAATAACATGATGACAGCTGGGAAAAAAACTACGTTTATTACGTAGAACTTCCTGCTGTTTGCCGTATACTGTCAACGCATTAATTATTCACTGGGCTTTAATTTAATTTAGTTTTTTTTTTTTTTTTTTCTGCAGCAGATAAGCAAATTCCTGTAAATTATATTCGCAGTGAATATGTAAAATAACATTGTAACTCATTCTTGAACTAGTAAATTTGTGAGCTTGAGACATATGCTGAAATTAAAGGCTAGTGAACATTTATAATAGGCAGGCGAACGCACACAATGAGTTTAACGAGCCATATAACACAGTGTTCCGGATGCAATGGACAGCCATTTCTTTTTTGTACTGGGTCGAGTGTCTGCAAATAAGCATAGTTTACCGGTGAAAACTTACATGGTTTGGCCGTGATTTGAGAAATTTAACGCAGTTCTAGAAATCGTATAGGGCGCCCATAGTAAGGTAACGAGATATATATTGTCATTACTTCAAATATGAATGGCATCGGCCGATACATTTTCATGTTCACCGTCACGTTGATGATGATGAACCACCGTTGATGGCGCATTTTCGGTTTGTTTGGTTTGAGGTAGGTCCTAATTCAATATTAAAGCGGCAATAGCTGTGATTCAGATGTTTTGTATAAATGTTATCACATGAAGATCAGATGACACTGATATAGCACGTGTGAATGGTATATAAAGCAGATTGAAAGTGGGCGAGTCTTATCCTCGGGGACGGAGGGACGTCACTAAACGTTCTATGTTGCTAAGGCGCGCACCACTGTACCCATTCTCTTTCCCAGAGTTCCTTGCGGTTAGATCACCAAAAGTATATATTCGTAGACATAGAAATCTGCCTGGGAGATTGCACTGTACCATGTATTTCTATGGGCTCTGTGCGAGCTTCCGTGGAACGTCGGTCGAAGAACCAGTGAAAATAGCTAAATTCGAGAAAACGGCACAAAATCAACTTTGAAGTAATCCTGGACAACCAAAATTATATATGTTGAACATGCGGGGGGTATTCTTGTTACACTGTTTAGGGGAGTCTCAACAACCATCCCAAAATACCGTTTTCTGAAAGTGTTCGGCCTTTGTTTTCACCGTCACGGTGACGGTTGCCAAGTGGTAAAGATGCCCGGATGTCCGCCGCGAGGACAGTGGTTCAGTCGTTGCTGGCCGACATTTACGTTCTAGCAGAGGTACATTTTTTGGGGTTTGCAACTCGCATAGTACTGTATGGTGATATCATGTCAAGATCCCATTCAAGTCTCTTCTCGTAGATAGCGAGACTGAGGCTACGACCTTCTGACATGACACATATCAATGTTCAAGGTTTGTAATGAAAAAATAAAACTTTTCTTGTCACTATCATAGTGAAAAATGTAATACATCGAAAATGTACAGAAAATATAGTTCTCGTAATCCGTCATATCGTGGGCAGCTATTTTGATCCACCTGGACATCCCAGTATCCTAGTTACCTCGGGCATGAGCATTCGCATTTTTCTGAGTTGGAACGCTTATGCGAGAGCGAGATTGTGACGGGATCTTGGTATCATGTCACCGTAGTTACAAACCGCAAGTAATGTACCTCTGGTTCTAGTAAAGCTACACGAATTTAATTTTATGGATGACATCCGCGCGCGCATTAGTTTTCGCCTGTTCTCAAAAAAAAAAAAAAAAAAAATCTCCTACGACGAGTCTCCACAGATCGGTTTTCTGTCGGAACTTGCCGACTCATATTGTCGCAAAGCGCAGACTTGTCGTAAAACTCGTTTTGGCCTATCTCAAAACTTCGCGACCACACCACCAAAATACGTGAGCGTAAAAGTTCAGAGGTGAAACGGAGGGATTGTTGTAGACTGGTACGCAATTGACATCATGATTGGCCAGGGAGACGTTTTTACAGCTATACGAGAGGTCGGTAGCGGCAAGCGAGTTTCGCCCAGACAACTTTGAGAACATATTGTCCAGAGTGGCTGTCCCGCGTTTCTTCTGCAATGATGAGAGAAATGGGAGAGGAGTGGAGGTGTATGATGGCCTAAAAGTCGGTCAGGCGACAAAGTCAGTTCGGTTGCTTTGTCCGCATTGAAGTCGACAAAACTGCAACGAAAGCAGCAGAAGCTCCTTGGCCGAAGTCCCTTTACGGGGTGAAGAAAATTTTCTTCTTATTTTTTTTCATTTTCTGATTCGGATAATTTGCTTGCACACACATTCAGTAATATTTTGATCATATGACGCATTTTCATCAAGATACATGTACATAATTTTCTGCATCCAAATTTTTGTTGACTCTCTGTTGGTGTTTTTTTTTCAATATCGAGCCTCTTATAATTTGATACATAGTTGAAGTAGTTCTTGAGCATTTGTGTCTACACTTAGTCTATCTGAAGTGTCACTTTAAAAGCTGTATTTGAAT